TTTCTAATCTCCTGTCAGATGCATAACTCATTTTACCTTTAATGTACCACATGCCTTTGGTCTGTTTTTTGTGTTTCTATAGTACAACCTCAAGCTGTAATGATAACTATCTATTTTTCTTCTATTTTTCTTTACCCCTTGTCATCACTGTATTTGTTAGAAGTGTAAGTCATGTAACTGTATTTGTTAGTAGTGTAAGTCGTTTAGATATTGTAATTTAAATAGTGTAAATAATTAGAGCAATATAATGTAACTAGAGCTAGTGTTGTAAGTAAGCATTGTTTTCCCTTGTGTTCTTGCAAATAATAAAAAAAAAGATATAGGCGCCCTACTTAAAACTATTTCCCCAGAGATATTTTTTGGGTCATGGTTAACCCGTAGAAAGCGTTTTTAAGGCATTTAAAGTTATAGCCCATAGAAAATTACGGCGACATTTTACTGCTATAATTTGCTTGCAACACATTGTCAAATTTTGCATGTCTGTTCGATCTCGTTTTGGGCTCAAAACTAACTTTGATTTATTTCATTTTTCGTTCAGTGGTACCATGAAGAACTGAGCTGAATAAAGATATCGTTGAAAGATTCTCCCCTCCCCCCCGCCCAAAAAAGATCCCACTATGCTCGGTCATGGCAGCCATGAGCCACTGAGTGGCTGCAGAAATTACAACTTTAAACGCCTGTAGAAACACAGGGATTTTTCGTGACTGCGTCAATTAAGATAATTTTTTAGCTGATTCATTAAAGGAAAAAAAGAAATCGTGGGATTAGTTGCACTTTAAAAGTTGTGCATGTAGTTTAAAATGAATTTTGGTTCCAAATTATTTCAAACTACATGTAGTTTGATTTGTTAATTGCATTTTCTTTCACAATGACAGTAAAATAAAATTGAAATAAGGGAAATTAAAAAATTAATCAAACTAGCACATCCCCTTCAAAAAACAAAATCCAGGTCTGTTTGAAGAAAGAAGCCTAAATTACGTTGCAGCGCTCACCTTGAGACAGCTTTTTAACAGCTTCAATGGGTTCAACGGAGACCACGCCTAATTCATCCAGTAGTGGGTTACCCACAAGGGCTTGAAGTTGCTTATCAGATATGTCATTTGTCAACTGCTCCGTAACAAAACCAAAGTCATCAACTAACAGCTTCTCGACTTCCTGGGAAAAGAAAAGAGGAAAAGTCAAG